CCTTGATTTCCTACAACTAAGTCTTATCGAGGTTTGGGGATTCAAGTGCTTTTTTATTTGGAACCTCAGTGCTCTAAACCATGGCAGAGTCTAAAGACTCTATACAGTAGAACCCCTCAATTACGTACGGCACGGGCCCAGAATCATTCGTAATTGCGGGTATTCGTAAAATTGGGGTTGACCCAAATTCCTATATGTTTGCACTGGTACTACTTACACTGGCATAAACTAGGCCTCACAAGCCTACACAGCTAAGTCTGAGGGGTCCTAGGCCAACAGTAGGCAGTTTCTATTAGCATTCTGATCCCACTCCACACTAATTTTGTTTTGAATTTGTTTGTATGTTGTTATCTTCTTAAATACCTAGACTGTGGATTTTACTCCAACACAACTTCCATAGATACTTGTTATATATTGATCATTTATAAAACATTCAAGCACTATGTTGACTTTTAAAGCTGAAAATGATGATTAAAAGAGAAGTAAAACTTGTCGCATGCACATGTGTGAAGCCAATAAACACTGAATTTGAAGAGGCCAGTTAGAGGGCCTCCTTCACTTAAGAATTACATACTGTCTAGTATGATATGTTGTTTTGTATGGGTGCTAATAACAGTTACAATTCGAGCGGATTTTTTTTTTTTTTCTTTTACTTGCTTTTGACTTCATTTTTTATGACGTCATCACCTTGATTTAGGAATTCGTTAAATCGGGGTTCGTAATTGAGGGTTTCTACTGTATTTGGTTGTGAGAAACTTCCTGACATTTTCTACCATGATTGAACCTAGAACCTCGCGGTTATGTAAAGCAAGCACTTTAACCACAAAAGTACAGCTTAAATCCATTATTATATTGTTAATATTATTCACAAATTAATCTAGGAACATACCATTCCATAAAACTGACCCACAATTTAATGTAGTTACCCACCATTCACTGTAGTATTCCACCAGGAAGAGGTCTCGCTGTAGGTTGAATGCCAAGTATTTGATCCTGTGTATATCAGTGTCCACATTCAAGTATTCAACCCGCGCAAACCTAACCTATTAAATGTCTAATGGAATAAAAAGATAAAACATATCAACTGGTTTGGTAACAATAGTAACAAAACATCAATCAATTTATTTGGAAAATGCTATTGTTTTTAGGAGCGGCCATCGACTTGATGGTGCACCATTCTAAAATTCAATGTACATATAACAAGTTTGGCTATGAACCAAATGGAATATTATTCTGATAAGGTTGCCCATAATGTTAAAACAGCCAAAAAAGAGATCCCAACAGGGGTGTCCCAAAGATGAGGGTTCTACAGAATATGAGGATTTTAAATAGGTAAGAATTAAATCATAGATTCATTGGTATTGATGTTGTAATGCTCTTTCTTATCTGAGCCTCGATCTCGTGGGCAAGGCAACAGTGGTATTCCGTTGACTTTCAATAAGTTGCTAAACAGATGAAATAAAAGAACAAGTATGGTATCACAAACGTCAAATTCTCTATGAGAGAATATAGATTTATTGGTATTGATGTTGAAATGCTTTTTCTTATCCGAGCCTCGATCGCAGTGGGCAAGGCAACGGTGGTATTCCGTTGACTTTCAATAAGTTGCTAAACAGATGAAATAAAAGAACAAGTATGGTATCACAAACGTCAAATTCTCTATGAGAGCCAACAGACTATTTTATTAATGATTATTACTCACAGATGAAGTAACCAGTACACTGCAATTCAGTATTTCCGAGAAGTAGGTCCATTAATTTCTAGAACGTCCTCATTCCTAAAGAGAGAGATATCAAGTGCAGTACTGTAACTCTTACCCTACTAGTTGCCCATACATGTATAGCACACATATCTCTCACCTCTTCTCATGGAAGGACCACAAGCAGAGGGAGAGAAGGCCGCCTTGGGAGCAGCATTAGCACTGGCAGCCAAGGGAGAAGGGCAGGATTTATTTCCAGACTAACACATATATAGGGACACCATCAGCCAGTCAGACTGACGGACCAGGAATTACTAAGTACCAGCAATCACTATTAGTATTTCAAGGCTGTCCCATCATTTTAGCATGTACTGTATTGCCAAAAAAGCTGTTACAACAGAGGGGGTAATAATAAATAAAATAATAATAATAATAATATGCTGTTTTTTATAGTGCTCTATACACCTACCTGTAAGTCTCAGAACGATTCTCCACATTATTGGATTATTAGTATAATAAATGTAATTAATTAAATCTAATTGCAATCCTCATTCTTGACCACCACGACGCCCACCCCCACCCACGAAAAAAAATCTCTGGTCCAGACTTCAGTCAATCACAATACTCCAGTGATCATTTACGGATGTATAGGCTTTGGCGGCGCCATCGGGGGAGGGAGACAGGGGGGTTAAGGCCCCCCATCGGTCTGGTAATGCCCCCATCGGTCCTGTCAAGCGCCCCCCCCCCCCCCACCCAT